ACAAGAACGCTACTAGGAGCAAAGGGCATCGCTACTAGTAACAAGAAGCTACTATTACTAGGGGCTTCTGGCCTTACTAGGAACAAGGACGCTACGACGCATCGCTACACCGCCGTGACGTCGCTGGTGAGCTCAGCACCCAATTCAGCAAGCCCCAACCGATGGGGAAACGATAGTCAAAGGTGAGGATCTTGTTCACCGGACTACACCTGAGAGTCGCGGACGGATTTGACAAAGACATGCAGATATTCCACCAAATAGCGATGGCCTCCCCAATAGCGATGGATTTGACAAAAACTATAATTTGCATGTTCATAGCCTGCCCTTCCTGCGACGGAGGTTGCCAATCTATGCTGCTTCCAAGTGAGCTCTGCAAAATACGTATGATTAAACCCCTATGTCGCATAACGTTCTTACGCTCCTGCTTACGCCTTTCTTACGCGACCACAATGTGAGCTTATGCGCCACGGATGTTGAAGAAGGCCTTACGCAGATCTTACGCATCTGCAGTTTCACAGATGAGAACCATACTCCCAAGCAAAATGCTTACGCGAAGGCTCCTGTTTGCAGGTGAGCCGGCGACAAACACATGATCACTAAGACTCCGAATCAGCAGAGGAAGCAAAGGATCACTAGCATCTACTTACTGGCTGCTGTAGGCAAATGAAAAGTTGGCTTACGCGAACCTTGCGCGGAGCTTACGCGAACCTTACGCCACCAAACCCTCACCAAACGGAGCCTGGCATGTTATGACATGGTATGATGGGGCTGACTTGAGAAAGGTTTGATACAGAGTTGCAAACACAAACAAGCACAGTGCACACACCTGAAACACAGTGCACACAAATGTCAGTTCCCAAGGGTTTCAAAGCTCTCATGGTCAATACAGTTCCTTTCTTGACAAGAGTGTAAGAATCTACTATATAATGAAAACACAACCATATGGCAAGCTTACGCAACATGCATGTCTCACAACTCCATTACGCAACCTTACGCTCTTCAGGTTTTTGCTTACGCCCAAGTTCCATATGACAAGGCCTTTACTTAGTTCATCTTGGGAGGTTTCTTGCGGTGCTCAAGTGGTCATCTAACATGAATCACATCTCATACCGCATACGTCTGTACATGTGCAAAACGTCTGTACATGTTTTGAAAACAAGTCACCTGGGCTTATCATGGTACCTTCCGCAGTTTAGCTCAGGCACGGTGTCTCACCAGGACCATCACATCCTTCATCGTTGCCTCAAAACCAGCATCGCGCAGGCCGTGTGTTTTCAGAGGTGCAATACGTCGATCTAACGAGGCTCAAACTGGAATGTATATAGTGGAATACTAACATGATCGCTAGTAGGCTGGAGGCCATCTCTATTAGAATGTATTAGAATGGAGGCCATCGCTATTAACATGATCCAGCATGCCTCCTGGCCCCTGCCGGTCCCCACCTGTGCTCTTGGGCGCTTGTGCCCCTCCAGTCTCGGTCTTCTCCTCGATTTCAGGGCTCATGGAGGAATCAAGTCCCTGATTGATGGATCTGTCCAATCAGAACCTGCTTGTGCAAGTACACCCATGTGAGTTCTCGAAGCAAACACTTACCGGCAAACCATAGATGAGCATCCAACCCATGTAACGCATGGTCGGTCGTTGGACATGGTGAAATGCTAGATTTGAGGGAAAGCGCACAAGACCAACTTAGGTGGCGAAACTAGAAGGCACTGCTCGTAATTTTCTAGTAATCAATGTTCTTGACCAGGATGGAGGCCATCGTTCTTAGGTTGAAATCGAGTTCGTACGTCAACCAGCCGTCCTTGCTGGGCCCTGCCGGTGCCGGTGGTGCGGGTGCAGCTGCCGTTGCGGTGCCGCTGCTGGGTGTCGCTGGAGTCTGTGCCGCGGAGAGCTCCAAGGTTGAGATGCCAGACACCTCAGGAGGTCGAGACACCTCTCGGCAGACTCGAATGAAGCTCTTCTCAAAGGGTTGGTGATCTTTGAGCACGTGCAGTGCAAGAAGTGCAAGAAGTGCAAGAAGTGCAAGTGCTTGAAGCTGATCCGACCCCATAAGGGAAGGGTCAAGAAATCCGGTCTGCGGATGGTGGTGGAAAACACCACATCTGCAGGCATCCTGGTCCCAGTCCGCTTGCATCAATCCAGCCGGTTGCTAAACAGCTGAAATGCCGAGACGACATCGCTGTCTTTGCCAAAACCTCTGGAAAATCCAGCAAAACACATATAATTTGATAGAATATGAATCAAAAAGGGCAAGTTGAGAGATGCTAAGTTTAAGATTTATTAAGACCTCTTGAAAGAGGGGCCGCGGGGCTCTACCATGTTCTATACCCTTACCGGATGGTCAAGACACCGAGGAAAGACCCAGACCGGCAGATGGGCGGATCGTCACTGTCGCCAAGCAGCATCATCTCTTTGGTCAAGATCTAATCGGGCATGGCCACGCAGAGACATCTGCAGACCTGAAAATGGTCGACGACATGCACAGAGGGTTTGGAAAGTGTGTAACATTTTGAAACTGCAAGAACCTCGCACGAGTGCTGTTCAGAAGTTAATGGAGACTCGACAGTCGTGTGTGGCAAATCAAGTCTAAAAACGCCAAGACCCTCTGGTCGTCCAATTCCACGAAATGCCCGAGCTTCTGGCTCTGTAGCTCTTTCGAAAGGACGGCGGCGTCCTTTTGACAGCGCCATGGAGGTATGCGGTGTGGTTGAATTTGGTCTCACTCTGATCTCTCAACTGAGAATCTTGTATCCTGTAACACTGGGATGGACACTCTTGAAATGCGTGTTGTTTTCAATCCCAGTTTTTGAAGTCCCTCTTCCCTGACACCTAAAACATCCTAAAACGCCCTCTACCTGGTCCAATTGGTGCAACTAACTTTGGAAGCACAGCGGCCCCTAATTGGTGTAGTGAAAAGTTCCATGAGAAAAACGTTCCATGACGTTCCGACGTTTCTTGAATGGTCTAATTAGCTTGGAGGCCACCGCTAGTAATTCGCTTGGAGGCCAGCGCTAGTAGCTTGGAGGCCAGCGCTATTAGAAACAAAGAAAAAGGAAAAGGAAGAAATGCGTCACAATCTCTTTCCATTCTGCGTCACTTCTTGGATCACAGTTGAAGGGACCGGTCCTGGGCCAAGTAGGCAGCTACACGAGAGGTCCGCTGCACCTCTGCTTCTAAGTCGGTCATTGGAAGCTGGGCCGTGTTGGAGACCTCGCCAAGTGCCATGTTGGAGACGCTGTGCACGAAAGGTGGATGACACCAGACCAAGTGAAGGCGGAGTGAAGGCGTTCACTTTGAATCAGGATTCGTCTGGTGATTTTTGGCCGGGCCCCAGAATGGACTGCCTGTCACGTCAGGTGGCTGGCTCTGTTCAGTCAGAAATCGAAAAAACGTAAAATATCTTTGAATAGTAACAAGGTGCATCGCTGCTAGTAGCAAGGACGCTACTAGTAGCTCCTGGCATCGCTACTAGTAGCTTCTTGTTGCTGGTAGTAATGCCCTTGTTACGTTCGTAGCTTCTAGCTACTAACAGTCGCTCCCCTTCTTTGTAGCTCCAGGTCGCTGAAACATCATCAGCGGCCACAGCTTGCCCTCTCTCCTTGGCGTTCGCACGCGGTGGGGCTACTAGGCTAGCTTGTTCATTCAACGGCACTTGCAACAGAGTCTTAATTATTTCAGTTTGGGAAACTATGAGCCAAAGACTTGAAGCGTTTCCAGAAACCTGTATGGACGTGTTTTTATTGCAGGACTGAATGGATTTGCAATGATCTGAACCAAGCCACTGCTTCCACTCCGAAGCCGCCTTGCGCAGCTGCGGCCTTGGACACATCCGGGGAATACCCTATACGCTGACAAATCCCTTTGTTTTTAACGCAAAAAAAACAAAACCGCATTCCTGGTAAGGGCTGAGCCAAAATGCTGTTTGCTGAAGCTAAGTCCTCACGAAGCTGAGAACATGGGAAAAGGATGGAAAAGGATCATCATTCTTGACAGCAAGGTCCACAGCGGCCCACAGTGCCCCCACTCTATGTTGACACCATGGTGGCTCATCCGCTCAAAATGGACACTCTCATCACTCGGCATCCACGCCTGAGAGTGCGTGTCACCTAGCAGTGTCACGGTCGACTCAATGAACTTTGTGCGGGTGGCAACCAAACAGAACTAACTAATAATTTCTGGTGAGGGATGGGGTGAGAGGGTGAAGCTGCACCCTTCTGCCTTAAGCCCAGGGGTTGCTTTTGCCACAGAGATGGACAGGGAAGGCGAGGGAAGGTGGCTTGCCTGCAACAGCAATGATTCCAATGATAGCACACCACATCAGCATTCTCCTTCGGGTTTGAGTGCTCAGATCTGCCCATTCTTGGACAAAATCAACAACGAATCCATCCCATCTACATCTGTGTGAAAGGGATCGAGTCGTTAGCCTTCGAATGAGAAAACTCCGAGGCGGTCTCGACGTTTTGATCATGTCCTCTAAATCTCTTTCCTAAAATCTCATGTCCAAACAGAATAAAGTTCCGGAAAACACGTTCGGACCACCCGGTCCTCTATGAATGGTCGACACCTCGCTGGCGTCACCTAAGTCGAAATCGGGTCGAGCAGCATGATTCGCCTTCCGATACACGGGCATCCCAAAGCCTCAGAGGGCTGAGCTGCTCTCAGGTGCACACGAAGCATGAAGCACAAATGAACAGTATCGAATAAAATACCTGTTCGTTCCAAAGGCGTGTTTGAGCCCAAAAAGAAGCGGAGAAGCAAATGCACAGGCACCGCGTAATTAGTGAGGATGCGCAAGGCACTGCAAACCTAGATCCCAAACTGGAGACATATATACTTATATATAGATGATGCAGAGAGAGAGAGAGAGAGCGCTGTCCGCTTCGCGCCGCTTCGCGTTTGGCTTTTCTCCAGTGACACGGCAATGGTCAGAGGACCACAGCAGAGGTGAGGCAAAGAGCGCCAAAGCCCAACATCCAAAGTAGAAATGATCCTCGATTGACCTGGCAGGTTCGCACAATTGAGACCGCGGCTCCAACACAGGGAAGACCAACGCCTCTTTCTGGTCGAATGTCGCATCCACTGCAAGCTGCATCTTCGCCTGCTCTTTGGAAGTTTATGAATGTTTCTGATGTGCTTGACTTCTGTTCATTCTTTTGAAAGATAATCTACTTCCAGCCATGTTGAAACAACACTTCCTGCGTGTCAGGTCAAGAACAGTGGGTCTCAGCTACTCGGTTTGATGGTGCAGTCTATGACAATACGACTGTCCAGTTAGGCCATCACTACTAGGGTGGAGGCCATCACTGCTATCCCTACTAGGGCGGAGGCCATCGCTGCTAGGGTGGAGGCCATCGCTTCTAGGGTGGAGGCCATCGCTACTACTAGGGTGGAGGCCATCGCTACTAGGGTGGAGGCCATCGCTACTAGGGTGGAGGCAGTCGCTACTATACAACTATGTTTTGTGCATGGGCATCATTGCCGTTTTTAGAGAATACTACTTTACTGGATCCTGTGAAAACAAATGCCTTGAGCTGCTGCCAAAGCTGCTGGCCGCTGAATGAAACCTCGGGGGAAACAAAAGCGGCTACGTGGTGTAGTCAAATGATGAACTAGTCTCTCTCTCCCTCTGTCTCTCTCTCTCTCTCTCTCTCCCTCTCTCTCGTCATCTGCGTAAATATCGTACATGGATCAGCCAGCCTCGAAGCTGTGCGATGGCCTGGCATTCGAAACGCAAAGTTACACTTGGAGTCTCTCCGAGCGGCTGTCAGTCGCCAGCCATCTTCAGATATTGAACGCGCTTCTGAGGAAAAGTTACAGGATGACAAAATATCATATCATAACTATAATGTTATAGGCTACCCCCTACCAATACCCATCGTTTGTGTTGAGAATGACTGGAATGGTTGAGTTGCATTCATGTGCGAAAAGCAGGCTTGACCGACTACTTGTGTGGAATGGTCAAGTAGCATTGGTGAATGAAAAGCAGGTTTGCTATACCTTAGTGCAGTGGAAAGCAGCAGACATCCTTTGCAGCAGCATTGTGACAGAATCTGGTCTCAGAATCAGAGGCTGTTTTTTGAAAAGATGCTGAGACATTGTCCTTGTGACTAAGTCACCAGTATCCAGCCAAAAATCAGACCCAAGAAGCCAGTGCTCATACTGAGCGGATCGAATTTGGGCTTGGATAGCTTTGCTTCCCGCCTTCACGTGTTGCTTACGGCGGATCTGTTCTTTGAGGAACCGCCCGGCACGGTCGATATGCTGCGTGCCTGCTTTGACTTTCGAGGCTTTGCGAGTGCTTGACGTTCCTCGTGGGGAGTTTACACAGACATTGGCCTTTACCCTTCGTTAGTGCATTTATGACAATCCAGGCATTGCTTGCGGAACATCGCGTGCAGAAAAGAACTGAAAACAAAGAAAAACTATGAGTTTGGAAAAAAAAGTTGCGGTGGTAGCAGTAAGTCAAACTTAGGGCCAAACCCAAAACAAAACCAAACAAAAAACTAAAAAAACAAAACTCTGAGGATAATCTCTGGCTCCAGCCTGAAAGATGTTTCTTTTTGGTGTTCATTGATTTGCTTGCTTTGTGTTTTCATTCGTCAAAAAACAAAAAACACAAGGTTGTTTTGGGCTGTTGCTTTAGTCTATGCAACGGCGACTCACAAAAAAACAAGGTTTTTTGAAGTGCTCGCTTATTCTTATGTTTAGAAAAAACCTGTGCATTTTGGGCATTGGTGATTGCATAGACCAACCTTGTTTTTTCTCAATGAAGCAAAAAACACAAGCAAATCAATGAACACAAGAAACATCTTTCAGGCTGAAGCCAAAGATTCTCCTCGGAGTTTTGTATTTTGGGCTTTTGGCTTGGCGGTCTGTGATAAGAAAGCAAATCCGCCCGCGCCGAGGGCATTGTAGCAATCGCAGAAAACACCATTTTCGGGTACGAAATGCTGTGCTTTGCATGTTTTTTGAAGATTGTCAAAAATTTGACCAAACATTCGCGATGCTAGCTATGCTGACCGGTTGATATTGCATTATCGACATCGTGGACACAGACTGACAGACCGAGATAGACAGACCGGTACAGACACACCAAGACAGACAGACCAAAACAGATAGACCGAGACAGACCGAGACCGAGACAGACAGACAGACTGAGACACACTTGAGCCCGGTTAACATGTCCTCCTGCCTCGGATGTCTATGTCTGTATGTGTGTGTATGTTTTCCCTTTGTGCCCTTTACTCCGCGCGGGCGGCTTCGACCGCCAAGCGGTGTGAATAAACAAGAAATATAGTAAATGCACGCGGTGAGCCTGCCTCATTGCGCATAGAGACTACTTTCTTTTATCTATTTAATATGTTCTGCATGTGATTAATCTTCATCACCTCAGGTTAAGGCTGGGGTGGGGGCCGGGTAACTCTCTACGGGATAAGGTATCCCAAAACCTGTAAAACAATGTCACTACTTTGGAAAAAGGTCTCAAAATATTGCTCGAACAAATATGAAAAAATGATCCAAACAAATTCTAATTTCCAGTAAGAAACACACAATGGGTGGGTATTGGAAGGCATGTGTATATTATATATATATATATTATAGCCATAGGAAGCAACACTTAGAGTCTTAGAGGAGATAGTCCAATTGGGTGTCCGGTTAGACGAAGAACTGTAAGAACTCCGCCGGGCGGACTGCAATTCCGGCTGTGAACTTGCACAAGCTGCACAGGTGGTGTTGCCTTGGAAAAGGTCACACAAGATTTGCACATGCTTCATTCAGTCAGGTCGGAGTGGGGCCAGGAACATCGTTTTGGACCAAAGTCAGGTGCCGTTCGGATGCCTTTGGCCTCCTAAGTCAGAATTGATTTTCGTAAGTTCCATACGCGAGGCCATCAAGTCCGCCAGAGCTATGTCCTGCCCAGAGTGCTCCAAGCACTCGGCAAAATCAAATACCTGGTATTGAATATTGAATGGACTCGCAACCCAAATGCAGTTGCCAACCTTGCGCGCTGCAGCAACTGGTAGAAGCCCGCCCTGAAATCGAGGCCTCCAAGACATCACGCAGATTCAGGATGCAAAGTTCCACCATTCCACCTGCTCCCTCGCCTTTTTGGGGTGCAGCTGCGGTTGGCCGACAATAACCCCAATGCATACCAGTTTGCTAAAGATGTTCATTGGGTCCTACTCAAAGGATTGCAGCCAACAAAGATTGAACGTAAATGTTATTGAAAATCTCCTCACTGACATAAGGGGCAAGAACCCAGCAAATCCCAAAAGACCTTGAGATCAAAAACCCAGAAGAAAAACAAGAAGAAGCTACTAAGGGCTCCTGGCCTTACTACTGGGAGCAAGGACGCTACTAGGAGCTCCTGGCATCGCTACTAGGAGCAAGGATGCTACTAGGGGCTCCTGGCCT